AATGAACATTTAAATAACGTAACAAACATCAGCTGTGATTTCCTTCCATCTCTTCCTGTTTCTCTCATATAGGATCGATTTTCAAACGCCATCCCATTTATTGAACGCGTTATTGGACGCCGACATCCAGAGTTTACAACATTCTTCATTTTGCAGCCGTTGGTTTTTTTAGGCCGTGGAATAAATCTGTACTGCTGCCTTTTGCTGGAATGTTTTCTGGTTTTATTAAATTAGCGCCTTTTGTTCAACGTCCTCGGCGTGAAATTCCAAACTGCTGCCATTTATCAGCTGAAACAACTGCTGTAGCCATTTAGCGTTTAGCGGTGGCTTCAGTGTGTGAAAAAATCATCCTGTTTGGAGGAGGAGTTTATGATGCGTTTAAACTGTGTGGGAAGAAATAAAACTAGATGGTTGCGATAGAATCATTTGAACTTGCATGGGAAAACTTGCTATAAACACATTTTCCTTCAAAACTTAGAAATATTTGCTGTTTTTTATAGAGCACTAAAAAAACAGAAGTTAAAAGGAGAAAGTTTCAAAATAAGAGTTTGCTCTTAATTTGAACGGCTAACATTAACCCATAAGAGGATCTGATAATTTAACCTGAAATCAAGTAATGGAGGTATTTATTCTTATTGTAGGCATAAATCTTATGGTTTTATTGGTATATTGTCTGATCGGCTCAAATCGATAGAAAAATAAATATATTGGAAGAAAACATCACTTATTCGATCGTCAGCTTCTGCAGAGAGTTTTTAGAAACAGAGTTTATAAATCCAGCTTCAGGGTTTCCACAGAACAGCCTGCTTCCATCGAGGGCTGGGGGCGGGCTTCTACAGGCCCACAGCCAATCAGAATCCATGTTTAAACTCCTGAGTTGGTTTCACTTTGAAAGTGTTGATAAAACCAGTTGAACTGGTACCAGTGCCGGTTGATCTTTAGCCTCAAAGATAAAGTTTCCAACCAAAACATGGAATGAAGGTTTAAAATCAGGAAATCAGCGGAGGATGGGTTCTGGAAACTCCCCGTTTCACTGGGAAGAATCCAGTAAAAAGCTGTGGTTCTGCTTATCAGAACGGAACACAGCAGAGGAACATTCAGATAAAGAGAAACAGGGAGGGGAGGGGGACCGGCCCGCCGGTCACGGCGACCCAGGAACAGAGCGGGAGACAGCCAATCAGAGCGACCCTGACAGGGAGACAGCCAATCAGANGAGCTATTATATAGCTGTTCTATTGGCTGCAAAGGTTGCTAGGCAACGACCTGACTCCAGTCTGATGGAGTAAAACAAATAAGCAAAAGGCGACGGGTTTGAGAGCGAATCTCAGACTCTAGCAGAGACCAGTTTATCTGAGCAAGAAGAATCAGATCTGAGAGCAGAAACAGAGATTGAAGAAGTCCTGAATGTTAGCAATAAAGTTAGGGGGCGGGGTTAACGCGAATCGAGTCTGTAATTGATTTGCTTGGCCTTAATGTGCAGGGTGACCAATCAGGTGTTAGAGAACCGCCCCCTAACTTTGATGGGTGAGTTTGACAGATTATTTTAATGGTTTTGATGCACTGCGACACAGGACCATGAAATAATTATATATTTTTTTCAAATAGAATGAAGACATATTTTATTAAATTAATGACACATTTATATATTTAATTCCTTATTTATTTAATGAATTACACATTTAATTCATTGTTTATTTCTGTATTTATTTATTTAACTGTGGCACTTTATATTAGTGACGTGGTTTTAATTAATGAATGACACATTTATTTATTTAATTCCACATTTAATTCATTATTGACACATTTAATTATTTATTTAATGCTGTATTTATTTATTTAATTGTGGCACTTTTTATCCTCCATATTCCTTGGCCTATTTATGAGATTAAATACTTTAAATGTTCCATTTCTCTGCATTAATAGGGGTGATTGTTGAGACAGGAATGAGTTCTACGCCTCCTTCATGCCGTCAACAGGAGAACTGTTCTGAGTGTTTATCTGGCTAAAATTTATGTCCTTGATGAATTGAAGTATTTTTCTTGGGAATAACCAAATTCTGTGTGTGAGAAAGTTCTTTATGTATGGATGGGATAGTTCCATGGGAGATTGCTGTATAAATTCACCAAGCTTTTCCCAGTCAGAGCTCTATCTCTCCGTCCGAAGACATAAAATAAATCAGTATTTTTGCAAAAATTTGTCTCCGCTTCCAAACTTCACACCAACTTAATGAAAAAAACCTAATTAAATATTTGACCTTTTATTAAAATCTTACCGGCATTTTAAATGCTAATATTTTCAGATGATCTTTGTCAGTAGATCAGGCTGCCGCTTTTATAGATAACTGATAATTATAGTTTTTAAAAAATTAAATATCAGTAGTAAAATAATAAAAATGCGATAGTAATCAGCAGAGCTTCCCTGCAGGCATCAGTTAGGATCATTTTTCTGAGGTTAAAGTCAAATAGATTCTGATCAAAAGAGAAACATGTTTTAAAATTAAAGGTCAAGAAAGGAAAAACTATTTGCTTTTCCTTTGACGGAACTCATTAGATCAGAAATGGCGGCCATGTTTTTGGACGAAGCAAACTGGAGTTCCAACTCGCTGCTTTTCTCTGGCTTTAACCGTTCGCTTCGTCCCGTTCTACTGGTTCTGCAGGTCCAGTATGACCCCCTTAACCTCCACATCATCCGAGGACGTCTCCCTCTCCTCCTCCTTCATCCCCGACGCCTCCTCCTCTTCCTCCTGCTCTCCGGTGGGAGAAACTACATCGTAAAGGAAGGTGAAGAAGCCATAGATCCAATCAGAGCCCTCCTCTGCTAAAATGTTCACAACCTCCTCGAGCGACCCGCCATTCGCGCTGTCGCCGCCATCTTTGGTCAGGCCTGACGAGAGAGAGGTGGGAGGGTGGGGTAGAGATGGGGATGGACTGGAAAAAAGGAGGAGATGGAAGAAAAGAAGGCGGGAGGATGGAATAACGGATGATTGGATAAAAACCAAGGATACAGAATAAAAGGAAAAATGAGGGAGAAAGATCGAAAGTTAAAGATGATCCAGAAACATTGGAGAAAAAAAACAGTTTCTCTGTCTCGTCAGGTGACCCGGTAGCTGCTCCACAAGCAGAACCAGAACCTCAATACTTCACCTTCTCTAAAGGTTCTGATAATAACCTGAATATCGTGGATCACTGAGGAAGATCTGCTGAATGCAGAGTTAGATCGAATCGTTCTTTAAAGCTGAAGATGCAGAGAAATATTCTGCTTCCACCTCAACATCAATGGAAACCAGCAACACTTCTAATCCCACAATCCCCAGTCTGAGCAAAAACCCTCCCACACCTCTGACCCAGCACCAACCCAGTCCCATCCAGGAGGAAATAATGGCTGGCCGACTTCTGGGAGCAGAACACCATCAGTCAGCCCTCAGGTCAGGGCAGATAGACGACGCCAGCCTATAAACAACTGGCTTCTTTCTGTTAGCGAGTTTCAGACAGATAAACAAAAACGTTTCTATTTATGTGTACGTGTGCGTTCTCGTGTCCTCGTGCAACGTCATCAGCCTCAGCACTGTTTCAATTCACTAGAACAGAAGACAGAGAACGGACAAAGTCCCCAGCATGCATCAGAGCAGACCTGTCCGTCCTCCAGACTGACAGCTGTCCCAGCATGCACTGCAGCAGCAGCAGCTAACAGGTTAGCGTTCACAGAGCTCAGAGGATTAAGTTAAAAATTCTCTTTTCTCCTGCTGTTGTTCAATAAAAGTACGTTTTAGGATCATTTGAGGCGAGAATATTATACTTTAAGCTTCACTATATGGAACATTTACTGATTTAGTGCGTAATTAAAAAAAAGTTCTGATGTCGAGAGGAACGTGGCAACCAGTGGAGCTCCACAACCAGGGCTAACGTTAGCCCGTCTGCAGCGGCGCAGGGCCGACGTTAGCCCGTCTGCAGCGGCGCAGGGCCGACGTTAGCCCG